GTTTCTTCAATTCTTCTCGCCCTGATGGTTCCCCTTTTCCCCTCTTTTTTTTTTTTTTTTTTTTTTTTTTTTAGATGAACAATGTCTTGATTGAATGTCAACAGAGGCCGGGGACCTCACAATTCGACCCGGAATACATGCAGCATCAGCCAGCTTAGCTTACAGGCAATTGCCTGCAGAACCCGAGATTACTGAGTTCCAAGTCCTACTCATAACTAATTTAACCAAAATCAAACCATTTCTCTACCTGTCATGCACATTCAAAAAAACTTGCTTGCTGTAGCTTCCATAAAATCTGTTTCAATACAGGTGTTTTTCTATATCTACAAGCTTCCACGTACTAACCTGGATCCTGGGACTACCACAGCCCAGAGGACCTGGGACTGGTCCTAAACTGCCCTTGGCACTCTACTTCTAACACTGGCCTACCGTGACCTTACCCCACCGAGTTCCCTGGTGAGTAACTTTGCTGACTTACCAGCAGCTCCCGTCCCCCCTGTTCTGACTAATCCCCCTAACATTCTCCCGGGTTGTCCATTTCCAGTATCCATCGAGAAATGACCAACCCCTTGTTTGCCTCCACGGATGCTAACTTCTGATTTTTTGCCCAGGTTCGCGTGAACCACCTCAACTGTCCTCTAGTGCCTTTGCCACCTTTCGCTCTCCGCATCCAGTCCACCCAGATGGACTGTTTCAGCCCCTGTTTGATAAAGCACTTCGTTTCTCTGTCTGACAGAGGTTTTTTCTGGAACCGTGCTCTGTTTCTGTCCTTCCAGATAACTTCGCAGATGAGGCCCCTGACAGCGTGGGCTACATAACCCCAACCTCTGTGTCCTTTCATCCCGACCGGTAGGAAACCCAACAGCACCCATCTCTCATCCCAAGCTACCGCCTGATCTCCAAATTTCGACCAGCGGTGCAGCCACCATTTCCATACTCTTTTGGACGCTGGGCACTCCCACCACAGGTGCCTGGTGGATTCAAAAGGCCACCTGACCTCGAACAGCCCAGATCCACTTCCATACCCCTGCTCCTTAGCCACACTGCTGACGGGGTAACTAGCAGGGACATCATCCACAAAAGGCTCACTTGTTTTCCGTTCGGTAGCGCTGTGAGAGTTGCCCACAGTTTCTCAAAGTCAGGTCCTGCTTGTGTCAAGTCTTCTGTCCATACTGCCTGCCATCTGGACACCGCGATTTGGGCTAGTTCTTTGCGGCAGGGAGCTGAGCGTTGGTAACTTTGAGCAACTGTGTAGTCGAGCAGACACATAGGTGAGTCCTCGTCTGCGCTGGGCGACCAGCTCCACGCGGTAGGATCAATATTCAGTTGGCACAGCGGGGTTCCTCCCACCCAGACCGGAGCTTGGCTTGCCTTTGGACGTCTTCTTCTCTCCAGCACTCTGACCTGGGATGGGTTGTCCCAGGATCTTACTGTCGCCTCTTCCAGCCTCTCCAGGTTGTTGGAAGGGCCTTCCTTTCTCCATCTTTCAATCCTCCTGAAAACGCTAGGGAGGACCTCCTTTACCTTCCATACAACATCTCCCTGGGTCTCCGAATTAGAGATATACCACGTTCCCACCGGGTCTACCCCTTCCGGACCTAATATATCCAACCACTCTGACGGAACGGAGTTGACAATTGTTGTCCAATGCTCTTCGATTCTTTGAAGGCCTCTCAAAATTTCCTTCACCTCGGAGAGGGGTTTCCAGCTGCCCCGACTTTTTTACCACAGATCGTCCAGCTTCATGATACCTCTTTGGACCCAGGCTCGGCCGAAAGACCCTTGGGAGCCATCTGCTAGCAGCACGCCGCCTGACTGCTCCAGGATTGCTGCATTCTCGAAGATCAACTGGTCCAGTACGTCATCTCTAGTGGTAGGTGGCCGTTGGTGGTCCGGTGGGTGTTGCTTCCACGCCTTCCGGATTGCTTCCCAGAAAATTGACTTCAGTTTCCTCTTCCTGAAGGATGGTAATAAAAAACAAGCCCAAACATCCTTTGATCTGCTGAGACCCCATTCGTTCATCACGATCCGTTCCGCTAGAGTTATCCACTGGTCCCGGACGCACGAATTGGCCACTTTGGCTATCCATCCCCGCAGCTGCGCGTGGTTTTTGCGGGTTGGGTCCACCAGACCCAGACCCCCCTTCATCCTTGGGAACGTCAGTGTGTCGAAGGCCACTTTGAAGATGAAGCCCTCTGTTGACTGTGCCCTCGGCTTCCACAGGAACTTCGCCACCAACCTCCTAATTGCTTTCACTACTCCCACCGCTAGTTCCCTTACCGTAGTTACAAACCATAGGATGGAGAGCAGGGCCACATTAACCACTAGCGCCCTCCCTACCAGCGACATGTGTCACGCCGTGCCCCACAATCTGAGTCTTGTTGAGATGCGTTGCTGCAGCAACGAGCCTTGTATCGACAGTTCCACTTGAAGGCTGATTAGCACTCCAAGGAATCTCTCCTCTTCCCCCCTCTCTACCCGTTTCATCCCCCACTCCACCTTAAGAGAGAACTGGGCCGGCAGCAGGTAGGTGGATATTCTCCAGTTCACAGAGGCTTCCGAGAGCATCGAGTACTCTGCCAGCACTACCTTCATTGCAGAGAGGGAAGAGACTGTGTTTTCACTCACTGCAAAGAGGTCATCCGCCAGCACCTTTACCATGCATTCCTCCTCACCGTGCACCTGTAGTCCTCTGATGTCCGGGTTTCGTCTTATCCTATTAAGCAGAACTTCTAGTTGCAGCACGAAGACCAGCGGAGCGAGCGGACAGCCCTGTCTCAATGACCACAAGAGCTCAAATGGGGATGAAAGATGGCCATTGATCATGACCGCGGAAGAGGAGAAGGTGTACATTGCCTTGATCCATGAGCAGAAACTGGTTCCAAAACCCATCCTCTTGAGTGTGGTCAAAACGAAAGTCCAACCAACCTTGTCGTAGGCTTTCTCCAGGTCCAAAAGGAGAACAGTCATGTCTAACCCTTCATTTTGAACAATTTTGAGAGTCTCGATGGCGGTGACTATGTTGCTGAAGATCGATCTGCCTTGTACGAACGCCCCTTGGTCCCTTTCTACCAACTCTGGCAGGTACGTGGACAGTCTACGCGCTAAGGTTTTCGCCAATATCTTATATGAGACGTTCAAGAGGGAGATCGGGCGCCAGTTTCTAACGTCCGACTTGTCCCCCTTTTTGAACAAGACTGTGATAACCCCATGCGTCATCCCCTTACCCAGCTTACCCCCTACCAACACCTCATTGTACAAATCGACCAGCAGGGGCCAAGAACCTTCCAGTTTGTGGAATAAAATTCCACCGTCAGTCTGTCAATTCCAGGGGATTTCCCTTTCGCCATCGATTTCACTGTTTGCGTGAGTTCCTCGAGAGTAACATGTCTGTCCAAGTCCAACACGGCCGCAGTGCTGAGCTTTACCGTGGTGTCCGTCCACATATCTGACTGTGCCGACAGGTCTGTGTCGACATCCTCGTTCGGCTGCCTGGTTGTGAGGATGTCTGCGTAATACAAGTTTGCGTACTGGAGCATACCTGCTGCTGAACAGGCTGTGGGGGCCGACTCGTCAAACGGATGTTTTAGTTCGATCATTTGCTGTTGCAGTCGTCTTGGTTGAAGTTTCTGAAAAGTTTCTTTGCTCATTTTGTCATTCGTTTCTATCCCTTTCTCTTGCAGGATCTCCAACCATCTCCGCTGTTTGTCCTCCTGCAGTTTGTCCCATTCGGCCATTCTCTTGACCCTCTCAGCAGCCCACACTCTTGCTGAGATTGGGTGTCTTCCCATCCTTTCCTCTGCCTCTTCGATCCTCCTAATGCACTCCGCCTCCTTTCTATTTCTTGCTCTTGCTAGAATCCGTGAACAAACATCCAGGATACCGGAGGTGATGGCCAAACCTCCATCCAACCGATGAGCAGTCGACTCGAAGTGGCAAAGAGCATCCTTCCAGCTCTCCATGCGAGATTCCACCCACTCCTTGATACCTGGGTCCTCGAGAACGCGGCTGTTCAGGCGGAAAAATCCTCTCCCCTTCTCTATCCCAAGCCTCAACCTTATGTCCATCACTATCGGTTTGTGATCCGACAACGAGTGACTCACCGGTTTGACCATAATTCTCCGCTCCGTCACTGGTTCGCTTAGTAGAAAGTAGTCTAAGCGTCTCCTTGTGATGTCCTGCCTGTCCCTATGGAGGTTGGAGTACCAGGAGTAGCCTGGGTCATTCGGATTGAGGATAGGGAAGGGGTCGGCAGTGTCAATTCCGCGCAGAAGTCCAGCAGTTTACGTACGTCTCTGCGGTCTGCAGAGACTGAGTTCGGACGCAGTGCTTCGTCCAAAGACACATTCCAGTCACCGGCCAGCAGCAGTTTGTCTGCTGCCGGCACATGCGTCTTTAGCCTGGCGAAGAAATTTGCTCTCTCGTGAACTGCTGTCGGGGCATACACTGTCGCGAGTACCTAGACCTCCCCTCCTATCTCCACTTTTAACCACGCCCATCTCCCCCAAAGATCAGCTTCCGCGTCAATGACCACCGCCTGCAGATCCCTGTGCAATAGGATCCCTACCCCACCTTGCGTCCCTTGAGCCGGTGCCCATACATGCAGGTCGTCCCACCACCTGGCAAAATCCTTCAACTTTTCTTCACCGAGTTTGGTTTCTTGTAAAAATAAACAGTTAACTTTCCATTCGTGCAGCCAAGACTTCAGTCTACCCCGCTCCATTCTTCCGTTTGTGTCCCCAAGGCCCCGCACATTCCACGTGGCTGCTCTAAGCTTGTCCATCTTCCGCTGCTTGCCCCGTCTGATCTTAGATACGGGCTTGGACTTGGAGAGACCCCTGGTGTGACGACGACCGTTGGACAGATCTACACGAACTCTGCGATGTCGTCTTCGAGGTTCCTCTCAAGGAGCTCACTCGGGACGACGACCGCCAGTCTTCTGTTAAGCTGTTGGCCAGAAAACCAGAAAGGAAGTTTTTGTCTGCGAACAGTTTCTCGTTGGCATTCACTAACACCATCGCAGACACCCCTGGTATGATCTGGATATTCTCGAGTTCGTGTCAGTTTCTCTCCCTTAACAGATCAACCTTGCATCTTCTTACACTTGTATGGTCGAGAATGGGAATGGCCTCTGGCGGTATGCGACCGTCTAATATTGGAAAGTACAGCTTGTTGTAGCCTTGTATTGTCTCAACAATTACTTGCGCCATTGTGGAGCGTGGAATGAGCCTCACTGGGACATGATTCCCGTATAGCTCCCTCACTGCTTCCATGATGATTGCTGGCGAAGGGGTACTGTCTATGACCTTGGACGGAATCTGGGGCTTTCCTTCTCCATTTGTGAGGGACAGGAAGCTTGCGCCTTCTTCCGAGCCCGTACACAGAATTGGAACCAGACATCTCTCCACTGTTTCCATCTGGTTCCGTTCAAACGCGGTTGCCCTCTGGCTTTTGTCAAGTCCCCTCCTGCTGCGGTTCCCTGGCTCATGAGCCCAGATCCTGCTGAGCTTTCCATGGAAGAGGACTCGTCAGACTTATAGTTCTCCCCCAAATCTTCCTCGCAGCACTCGCTGCCCCACCTGATTCTTGATTGCGAGGACTCAGGTGTCTTGTGCATGTCCTGTTGGAGCTTCTCCGAACGTCCATCCGCTCTCGTTGCGTCCCAGGTTTTCTGGTGCTCCTCTTCCTCTCTGATTTCTGGGAAACGGGTTGCAGGGTTGCGTCTCCACGGTTGGGTAGGGTCGCCCCTGTTTCTCCAACTGTCGTCCCTGCCCAGTTCCTATCTTCTGTTATTGCTTTTGTGGGTCCTTCTGATCGATCCCCCTCTCTCTTCCCATCTGAGGGGGATAGTCGGTGGCGGTCCTCTCCCTGTGGCCCGTGGGACATAGTTCCTCCAGTCGTATCTGTCTGATGGATAATTGGGCATCGGATGATCCACTTGGAACTGCTGCCCGTTGCAGGCCTGTGTGCTCAAGCTAGGATCACCCGCCCTGAGTAGTTCGTCCTGCCCATTTGGATGTGGTCCCTGCCATTGTGCAAAGGGCTGGCACAGATCACCCCCCCTGAAAGCGGCTTCCAGCAGGTTGTGTTGGTGTCCCTGCCATTGCGTGATGGGACGACCTGGGCCTATGTCTCCCCACAGGCCTCCCATAAGTTCTGCCGAGTTGTTGTGTCCGGTAAGGCTGCCTGTTGGCCAATCTTCCCGTGGCATCCAAGGTGTCAGCAGGGAGCGATCGTGCTCCGGTACTTGGTATGCGCCCCATCTCTGTGCTCGCTGATACTCTTCTTCCTCCCATCCCTGTTTCTGACTGGCTGACCTCTCTCCTCTGTCTATTGTCCTCTGATGGCTACAGTCATCACGTGGCGTACATCGTGACTCCGTTCCCCCTTCCCCTGTCCTTCTTGGTGCCACCGATGACCACCTGTGTGTTTGTCCTACCAAAGAACCTCCTTTGCTCCGTTCTGAGCCTTTGTCCTGCACCGTTGCCTTGGATGTGCCTCTTCTCTGCTCTTAACCGGGTTCCTCGGGCCTTTGCCCAGTCTGTTTTCGAGCGGTGCTCCTCTCCTCCCCTTGAGATGATTGCCCTTGGCTTTCCAGGTGTTGTCTAAATCTTTCCCTGTGGCCACCCTGTCGTTCTCCATTCCCCCGTCTTCCCTCCTCCGATTGCCTGAACTTTGGACAATTGTCTTCAGTGTGGAAGTACCAACGACACCTGCGACACCAATTTGTGTACGGTGTTACAATTTCCACTCTCCATCGCTCCCCCTCCGGAGACTGAATTATCAGATAGTCGTCGATCCTTGCTCTGGATTCCGACGGCATATCCATTTTGACATTCATGAGCTTCGGCCGGTCCTTGCCAAACTCCGGAGAATGCATTGTTAAAATTTCGCCAAACAGGCCCACCACTGCGCTACCCAGGAAGTAGTAGGCATCAAGCGGTACTCTCAGGGCCATAATCCAAAATCTTGTTTCTGCTTCCTGCATTCTGAGCACTTGCATCTCATGCTTTGGGAGCCTCGGCTTGAAAGAAACTATGTATTCCTTGTTACCCTCTATTCTGATCTTGATCTCTTTCTGTTGTATGAGCCAGGTGGCGATCTCTTTGGACTTGACAACGTAGGATGCGACATTCTGTCCCTCGAACTTAACTCTCCCCCTCCTTGCTTCGGGTTGGAATAATCTCTTTGTGGTCCACCCATCCTCGTATGCTCTGATTAAATCTTCCTTCACCATCCTCGACAGATTCCTTGCTTCCCCCTGAAATATCACCATGACTGATCTCTCTTTCAGCCATTCCTCTTTTACTCTGTTTACCGCTTCATTCACCACAAAGCGCCTACCTTCCTCGTCTTCAACCACTGTGCCTAGATTTTCCTCCAGCGGACACACACCTTCGTCGTAGCACTTTTCAACAGAAACTCTTACCCTGTCGACTTCCTCCCTGTTTTGGTTCAGCCCTGATGGAACTGCCTCTCTACCGCCTGATTCTACCATTTTGGTACTTCGTCGGTTTTCCATCCCTGACCCTCTCTTATTCCAACTATCTCCCTCTCCCTCCCGCTTTCTCTCTCTCTCTCTCTCTCTCTCTCTCTCTCTCTCTCTCTCTCTCTCTCTCTCTCTCTCTCTCTCTCTCTCTCTCTCTCACATACTCTTTCTCTCTCTCTCTCCCTCTCTCTCTCTCTCTCAAGACTTCAAGACAGCAATGTTGACGAGAGCTCCAACTCGCGTGGTAGCAGGAGTCCACACCGGAGACGCATCATATGGGGCATGGTGCATGTAGTCCCAAATCACTAAGTACGAATCACCCACACCCGAACTCCCCGAGTACTAGTCTTCGATGCAGAAATCCCGACACACTGCTCCACGAAGAACATAGCACCAGTTCACGACTCACGAGCACCGATTCATGGCTCGCGGCGCACCCAAATCGCTCCAGAACACGAAACATAGAGCACCGAATCCCGAAGCACAGAGCCCCAATTCACGACCTTGACACGAAGCACGCAGTACCAAACACCGATCCACGCAAAACGGAGCACCAATCCCCGAAGCGACTGGCCCTTATCCCCTAACCATGCAGCCACAGTACACTAAGCACCAAGCGTCAGAGCACGAAGTATCAATTCACGAGAACACCGATTCACCAATTCACGAAGCCTGACACATACACCAAGCACGGACCACGGAGCTCCGAACTATGGCACACCAAGGCACGAAGCAAATTCACTAAGATCGGAGCAGCGAGCTACGGAAAACGGATCACGGATCACCACATAATATCGCCCCCAAGTACGATGCACGGCACACCAAGCTTGAAGACCACGGCGCAGAGAACATTGAAGACCTCCCGCTTTCTCTCTCTCTCTCTCTCTCTCTCTCTCTCTCTCTCTCTCTCTCTCTCTCTCTCTCT